ATAAGTCTTCCTTTTTGACAAATCTTAATCAACTTGTTACAGAGAAATTTCATGATTATGATTTTTTTTTCGCCAGTCTTAGAGTACATTTTTCATCTTTTAACTTTGATAGTTTTACTTTTAGGGCTTAACTTAGTAACTTACTCCATTAATACCTTCCTTAAAGATTGCAATCAGGCTTCTCTCCTTTGTTTTTGGCCTCTATTAATGCTGCTCTTGAACTGATAGATTTTCTATACATCACTTTTTTCACTGCTTATTTTATTGCTATTATTTCATTAAATCTTGTATTTGTACTTTTTCTCAATCATTCATCGTCACCTTCCAACCTAAATCATGACAATAATAAGCGTCTTGATCGATCGCGACTGAAGCCAGTAGCATCTCGCAAGAAAGAGCAAGCTTTTGCCACTGCCATTCGAGTCCAGGGTGCCGCATCTACTCCACAGCGGCCAGCTGTTAGCCTTTCTTGCACCACTGCTTCCAATAGCTCCAGTATGGCATCTTTACAAACTGCAACTCGTGATGTCTTTCCGGCCCTGGGTGCTGAGCCATTGGCCACAAGCATGTTGAATGTAACTGCCTTGGATGAATTTGAGGCTAAGGAAAGCAAAGCTGCTTACACCATGCCCGTAGAATCCATGAAAACGAAATTTGTGGTTCCCTTTAGCAGTGTACCTAGACGAGCTTCCTGCACTATCTCCCAAAGCTCCTCTTCCCTCAGTTCTTGTCTCTACCCCAAGACTGAAGCACCGGTAACGAGTCTGCCAGATCCCAAGTCGGTGGTCTCAATCCAACCGGGAGCTGTTTCACCAATAATTATTTCTGCAGCTGATAACGTTCTCGCTTCAGGAGTCAGCACTGTGTCCCAAGTGCCGCGCTTTACACCAATTGGACTAGGTCTAAAGCTAGCGGCAGAGGTCAATCGTCTGGATGAACTGAATGCTTCGATCCAGCAGCTAGCCGATCTTGAGGCTCTGCATCAACTCTCAGCCACTCAGGCGGATACACTTACTCTAGCTCAGCTCATGAAGGTCAGCTTATCTACTTCTATCCCTTAAAACTATGCTTAATATTTGTTCAAAATGTCCTTTGCGTAAAAGTTTCTAGCTTATGCTGTTTTCCCATCACCATTTATTGTCTCGTTATACTATATTTTCCCTGTGACCTGGCAGTCGACAATTGGTTGAATTAGTTCCATTCTTCGTATTTCAGTGCCCCGATTTTCCTCTAATTGAAGTAGTTTTACATTAAGCTAGAGCTTAGAGGCTTGGCTCAATAAAAATTTAACCGTGGTTAGCAATGCTCTGATGTTATAATACACCAAAGAATTTTCTTTGAGATTTTAGCTATTGGTATTCGGATATAAGCCAGCCGGTTACTTTGTCTAACCATTATCGCGTAGCCTTTCATTTCCACTTCCAGGTATATGTTCATAATATTTATTAGACAAATCGCCTTAACAAAACATTAGTACATGAGCTCTCAGCATAAAATAGTTAGAAAGTAAGTTGAATTACTGTTAATCATAACTCAGTATCTTTTGAAGATATGAAGACCAAGATGTTGTGGCCTCTGGTATGGTCGCAGTCTCCTTTCGATTTATAGAAGTGGGTTAACCTCGTTATCGCAACTTGGTCTTGTTTTCAGGGAGACGCACCTGTAGAATGCACCTAGTTCGAAGTCGTCTGTCATAGGAGTTGTCACAGTATCAGACAGTGGACTTGATACATTCTCAAACGTTTCGCCGGCCTCGTAGTCGGCATCATCAGTGAGCTTTGCCATTCCCCCCACCAAGATACGAACTCGTCAAAGAGACAGGTGAAGTCAATCCTTCGACAACCTTTCTGCTGGAAACGGTTACACTATCACTCCTTTTTCTGTCATTGTCTATCTATCTACGCTTTACCCTCTTAGCCCACTGTCGCCCTATCACAACTTCTCACTTGTTTACATTCCAATCATCAAAAGGTGTGCCCTTTTGTGGCAAACCGA